TAGGATAACGATAAGATAATGCGATTTTTGTATATACGTATCATCATCGAACTGGCTTCGTTGAGTACACCGGATAGGAGATTGTGTTGTCTGTGTTGTTCATCGAGTCTGATACGTTTATTCATTCGTCAAATGCATTCAGTTCGAGAGCTTCTTGTCGATGTATTTCTACAGTTTGAGGTTAAGCTCGAAGTCGAGTTCACCATTTTCATGGCCTGTTATTTGACTCTATTTTGAACGAATGATCCTCTAGTACGCGATGAAATAAATCTTTCTTTCTATTTCCGTACATTATACTTAGGCAAACGCCGTTTGTGCGACGGTGGTAATAGGAAGCCAAATACGATTTTCCGGGTAAATTTATTTTATTCGTTTGTTTAACCAGTCATACAAGAGAATGAAAAGCGTACAAGCAAAGCAAAGCGAATTGGAGAAGGATGGTGAACCAACTCTCCTGCGCTGACACATGATTGAGTATTTATAATTCGGCAATAATAGGCTAGGAATGTAATAAGCGGGTAAGCACTCACACACACAATCAAATATATGATGATCGATACTGTTATCGAATTATTAAAAATATAAAAAATGGTCGATACAATTATCAAATAATTTAAACAACTAGTCAATAAAGTTACCATAATGAATAAATGATGAAGTCCTACTCTGTTATTCAGTAGATCTATAAATATTGTACCACGTGAAGAATTTCATGGTAAGTCAGAACATGTCCTTATACTTGACGCGACAACAATTAAGTTGAAAAATAAATTTCACTAGATCAGTAAATTAAAATAATGATTATTCATAAAGCACAACTGGTAAACTATAACATGGTACACAGTTCTGTATCATAATGAAGCTTTCGAACAAAATGCTTATCATCAAGGTAACATTTAAATCAGAATAATGGTTCCATGCTTCCGAACAGTTTGGAATTGAAGTATCCAATTTACATAACGTTAATGTGACCTAAACGAGATCAACCTTATTTCGATAAGCCGAAAGTACATAGAAATATGTGTACTTTTATGTCAAGCGCACAGGGCTGGTCTCAGTCTTTGGACAGTTTAATCAATCCATTCTTCTCGGGTTATTATTCATATGCCTTTTGACTTAGTCAATCATTCGCTTAAATCTTGGTTGTTTTTACTTGACTGTGTATGTGCCGCTTACTTTGCTTATTACATGTTTAGCTTATTTTGTCTGACTATAAATGCTTGGTCGTGCCTCATTACATTGAGTTGGCTCACTCACCTTCTCCACTTAGCTTCTCTTTGCGTGTACGCTTTTCATTTCAACATCTGTCTGTATGAACGATTGCTTGAAATAAACTCATCCAACCGAATCCGTATCCGGCTGCCAATTATCGCCATCGCGCAAACAGTGTTCGCCTAAGTATGATGTACGGAAACTGAAGGGCAGATTTATTTAATAGCATATTTAATTGTTCATAAATGTCAAATTTAACATAGCCACAACATCATGTTGAATGCAAAAAGTTGGTAATCTCGTTGCACATACGATTATGAATTTGTCAGCATAAACTCCTATTGAACAAATTAAAATACAACACGTGTCTCATTCTAGTCATTACGAAAGCAAGTAATCCTTCATCATAATGTCTCGTTAAGTTGCATTAACAATGACCGAACCCAAAAATAAAGGGAAAGACTTTGAAGCTTTCCTGTCCTTATAAAAATTCCGATAACAATCTTATGCGACTGATTTTTGCTTGAACAAGTCTGACCAGTAAATTTGTCACTCTAATCCAATCAAGTATCATATGACTTGCATGTAAGTACATTTCATGATGTATATTGTTAGGCTAATTATATTTTTCTACATAGATGCATGTGTTCTGTCTATCCGTCTGTCCGTCTATCAATGAACTTAATAACGATAAAAATGAATTTACGTAGGCTTATTAAAAGGTTCGTATTTGGAGTTGGCTGCAAGCCAACTACAAAATGTCTTTTGTTCAGTTTACACTCAAAGTCTGTTTGTAAGTAATAATGGCTGTATCGAAATGACACTTCGCACCAAACTTTTATTATGCCACTGTATAGACATGTCATAACAGTAGAAAACAAATTTGAGTATGAGAAATATACTGAGAGCATAACAAGCTGTATGGTGTAATCAGTGAAACAGAATTTCGATATCAAGAATTTGTCAGTACAGATGAAACTGAAGTGTATATGATCGTTTCACATCCTTTATGAGTTTCTGTGTAGTTAGTAATAAGTTTTGTTCGTGCTAAATCTCACTGCCTGCACTTTGTGAACACGTCTGTTGAGAAAGTTAGCTCATATTCATGTTCTTTATCACGTTATAAATACCATTATACAAAACACCAATGACAATTTTTGCTTCATTAGTCAATAATAAATGACGTCAGAAATAACAAAATGGATGCGATAAATGACCATGAATTTTACATAATTAGCTATAATTGATAAACCAATATGAACGAAACACGTTAGGTCAAACTAGATTCTAAGGGTTAAGCGATTAACACCACAAAAAGCTTACTGTACAATGGTGAACGAATTAGTCATCGTATCGTTTAGTTTCATGTGAGTGAAGTATTTCTTATTGTTATGTTTTATCAGTAATTGTTAATTATCACTATTTAATTGAAATGTTTTATTATTGGCGAAATTCTTATAGATATTTAATTTCTTGCTGTTTTCTTATCATGATATTGAATTTCGAATTCTTACGGATCATTTATTCAGGACTTCATTAGTCATTGTCATATACTTACCTGAATCAATTTTATTGAAAATTATCAATGAAGTAACCGTTGAAGACAGAGAAAGAAATCACGAGAACATTGGCTAAAATCAGTAGTATTGTGGTGTGAGCTACTTATAAGTAGTATATGACGTGAGCGTCAACGTAATGTCTGGCAGCCGAAGATGGGGGAAGATCAAGAAAGGAAGAGTTAGAAAACAATGGAATTTGTATGAAACGCATGAATAGTGACAATGGATTGATGTTTTGCAACAGGAACAGTCCAGTTCAATATGATGAACTGTTATTTTGCAAATGAACGATTTACGATATGGTTTTCCGATTTTACTGAGTAACTCTGTAATCTTCGTTAAATACAATTCGGCTGCCCCACCTGTGTTCTCTTTCACTACAGTAAGAAGCCTTTTTGAGAAATCTGAACAACAGAGATGAACAGCTTATCAATAGGAGATAGGTGACTTGAAGAATGAATGAAAATGTACATAATTGAATTCAGGAATGCAACCAGCATTTACTAAGTCGTTTAAAATATGGATAGATCTTAGTTAAACAACCAGTCAAAATCAAAAGTATTCGGATAGCTGTTTTATGTCTAGTATGTGTCACCCAAGCGACATACATCTACGTTTAAAGGTTAATCAATCATTGGGGGATCTACATGTTCTAGGTTTAACCACCAGTGATTATATATCGATGACGGTTTATCAAAAAGTAGTTGTCTAGTGCTTACTAATTTCCATAGATTGTCTAAGTAAAATCTGTTCATGGTGTAAACTATGACAATTCAGCACTATACACAAAACCCCTCATCCTAATGATAAGCAAATGCTTATGACACATTATTACGTAAATGAATTTTGTAATCAACGCATTTATTCGTATAACTATGAGTGTCATTCTATCTGTGTCAAACTACTACATAAATTTCTAAGTTAAAGAAACAAAATGACAAAAAAAAATAGAATCATGGAGGGCCGTAGAATGTACGCATAATTTTAGCCTACATATTATTTTTTCTATTATAAAACATCATCCATCATTTATCTGATATAGTGTGGCCTATGAGACAGAATATTGAATAATAGACAATCAAGTAATTAGGATGCATAACTAAAATAGCTTATACTAATGAAAATAATAATGATAATAATAATAGAGTAACAAACACCCACTTAAATATCTAAATTTCATGAACAATGTTCAATTATTATACTTCTGTATAAAAAAAAAGACGGTATGAAACCTACGCAAAACAAAAAAAATTATTAAGTCTGCATGATTTAGCTTTTTTTACATGTTAGTGATTTCAGCTGAATGTATAAAATATCAAATCAATTAAATAATTTTATTGTTTAAATACAAACGTAATAAAGACGCTATTATTGAACTACGATTTATATGATTTTAATGAGTTAAAGTATTTTTCTTACAAATGATTATTCTTAAATGACATACAATTGTATGAACATGTTGAATTGTGCTAGTTATGTACAAATGTAAATTTACCAGAACTATCTTATTTAAACTGACATGAAGACATCATGATGAGAAAAAGTTAATCAAACTTTCATATATAGATTTAAAAGAAATATACAGAAAAGTTATTTAACATTTATCCATAGTTTCATGAAATTGTATCATAGAGAATAATGTATTTCTCAGGATACTTCAAACCCAACTTCTATGCTCTTTGGCACTCGTTAGCAAGTTGTACCTGCAATCATCAAGAAACTGATGATCCTTACCGGATGTAATCACGTGTCACACATCTTCATAGTGGCAGACGTTGTTGTCATAATTTACGGTGTCTCAGATCTACACGTGATACACGTTTTCCCCCTAAGATGACTACCTGAATGAGAAAGCAAAATACTCATTTTTATGCATACATTCTTTCACGTTAGAGACTGAGTCCACTTACTTTATAATCAATTAGTTGCATTAGGACATTTCTGTTATCAAATGACCTTCTCTGGTCATTTCTAATTAGTTCACAAAGCCAGTAATGAGATACATTTTCAATTGTTTGATCATTGAGTAGTGAGTATGATCATTTATTTCAAGGTTTTCTTAATGTTGATTAAATCCTACCGACCAAATAAACAAAGTGTAGATGACATTGAGTCCTTTTGACTAGTAGTTCTAATGTAATGTTTACAACTGTAATAACCAATAATCATGCTTTTACTGCTATAATTTTGTTTGACATATCGAAAAAATTTACATGATCATTGCCTGTCATTTTATTCAATTACTAAAATGTAATAAAATAAACACAACATAACACTAGGCATGATTTTCTTTAATTGAACATTTTAAAAAAACAACACTCTAGGGATTCTTCATATTATATGAATTATTATTATTAATATTATCATTATTATGTGCAAAAATACTTAATAATACTGAAAACAATAATATCATATAATAATATATTCTATAGTGAAATATTAGACAGAGAAGAAAAAAAAGTAACCAGTTTGCTTGAAAAAATAAATATGAAAACACACAATGTCAATTAAACATGATGTGAGAGAATGAAACTCATTTTTTTTTAAAAAAAAAAGACGAACAACAACAACAACAACCGTGAAACAATGATCGTTGCAGAATATGAAGAAACAAACAAACAGTGTCACCTTCTGTTTTTCGGTGAGTCTAGACAACAAAAAGTGCAAAAGATAAATTGGTATAAAGTGAAAAATGTCAAATAAACAATACAACCTTTTTTTTTATCTAAATATCATTGTCTGTATAGATTATTTTTTCTTCAAGAAAAAAATTGATAATGAAGAAGTGTAACCAAGGTGTACACTTTTGTTGATGTTAAATTGTTTGAACTAGATGCAAAGTATTCAATATAAATTTCAGATAACTCCATCATCATCATCATCATCGTTATCATCGAGAAATGAACTGTGCAATTTAGCATAATAGAATAATGAATTTTACATTGAGTAGATTTTTTTTTAGTTGATATTCATACAAAATTAACAGGGAAATTTCACTTCAACAAGAACAATACACTATCTCATTAAAATGTTCACATAAATGAGTTAGAAATAAAACAATACAATACGGAAAAACAAAATTATGTTAGTGTCAGTAAGCAGCTTGAATAATAAAACAAGATAGTTCAAGTATACACAAATATTATTATTATTATTATTATTATTATTATTACAATATAAGTCCCGATAAAAACAAACATCATGAACGAAAAACGATGTAAGAAAATAACAATGTAAGCGTAATAACCAACAAAAAAGGGATTTATTTAGTTGTTTTTTTTTTGTTTCTATACAAGCAAACTTTATTCATGGATGGATGCTGCATTCATGTATGAAAGAGAAGAATAAAAAGAAGAAGAAGAAGATACATCAGCATTGAATAAAGCATAATTGCTTTTGTGAAAATACCATGTCGAATAAACAAGGACATATACATTTTACAAACATATCCATAGAAATTATTGGTCAGAAAAAAAGAGAAGAATTGTTTCGATACAATGATGTTCGGCGTAAAAAAAAAATACAAAATATTTAGAGAAAGAAAGAAAGCAGTATTTTTGAATATTAGCATAAAGGCTTTTTTTTCATATGGATCGAATATAATTGAATGTTGATCATTCTTGACAGGTATTTTACATGTACAATAAAATATTTAAAATAAAAACTCAAGGCGGACAGTTTAATAGTCAAAAGATAAAGACTGATTATAAAATAGAATTAGTTATATGAAATAAAATCCTTATATATTATAATGCTGAATACAATTTGATACAATTCGATGGATTCATTAACAGAAGATAGAAAAAAAGTTCATTCATTTATTCATTGCTTTTCTTCTGATTTAATTTGATTAACTAAATTCGATTTGGCACGAACACGACGTTGAGCTAATGTAGAACATTCCACTGGTTCAAGTATTGGTATTTTACTGGTACAATTTAATGCTTTAAATGTAGCTTCAACGGAATTCTAATACAAATAGAAAAACAATTTGTTTGAAATATAAATTTTATTATTATCATTATTATTATTGAGAAATTTATTTTATTCATAATAATACAATTTACGAGTAGTTTTTTTACATGAAACTAAAAATATGAGAAATGCATAACTTGTCATTAGTATTTAATGCAAAAAGTGGATTGTGTAGATTGTTAAAATTTGTGGATTTTTTCTGTACTTATCTTAAACGATTTTAGTTAAGTATAAGAAATCAGTATGTGATGAAAACATGTGTATGGTCAAAAATAGGAGTGTTCGACAGTGTAACATCTATCAAACCTTGTTAGGAAATTTATCAAATATTTTAAGAGAATTATTTTTGTAAGTCTAATTCTATTGGTCGATTCCTACTGGTTAATATTATGGTCGTCCTAGCTATCAATGTCACTTCTAATGGTGTTTCCTGTTGATCGTCATAACTGTCAATGACCCGTACTTCAATGTTGTTTCTTATTCGGCCTAACCGGATAGATACGCATTATCTGAAACGTTTTGTGACCCAGACCTGGTCCCGGATCCCTAGTCCGGGATCTTGATTCTTTTCTGGATTCGAACCTCGTGCTTTCTGGATGCTTGTAAATACACGTGCTACTTCATATCAAGTCTTCTTCTTTTACTCAATGGGGGTTTGGGACAATCGGATTCGAGTAGCATGTCGTGTCGCCGGATCCTCGCTCTCCTTTCCGACTAAGGTAAACTAGTAATAGTTCAAGGATATCACGCACATGCATAACAAACCTGAAAAAGATTTAACCCATATGCACACAAAAAATAGTAAACGCTTATATATTCCAGAAAGAAAAGGATTTAAGCTTTAGCTATAAGCAATCTCGGAAATAATTTATATGACACACGAATTCCAGTGTTGACCCGTGAAAGAAAAGCTAAAGTGTAAGATGTCCAAACAACTGGTCTTATTGCTTATAAAAAGAGCATAAAAGTATACAAAGTTGGTTATCATACTCACACAGTTGAAAAATAATTACCTTAAAATGTTTAAACATGCCACCATCTATGAGTAAACGAAGCTGGTATTCTTTTATTACAAAAACATATTTTGTTCTTATTACTTATTATAGATGGTCTTGTGTTGTAGATTATTGGATCGACTACAAAAAATCAATACTAATGAAAAAGTTGATGAGAGAACTTCTTTTTTATCTCATCTAAATTAATACACGTGTTCTCAAATATTTTAATTATATTTTACTGTAATTTTATTTGTACACTTTTCTAATTCAGATAAATCAAAAGATAAATCATTATGACAGATTTGCATTCTCCACTCTCGCTCTCTCTCTACCATAGTGAATCGAAAATTATATCTGTGATCTAACATTACATTACATTACTAGCGAAAAACTACTGTCAACAATATGAGTAGTAAATAAATAAATATCTAACGAGTTACTATAAGTTTCAAACTCTAAGGAAAAAAAGGATATCATGAGAAAAAAAAATTACAACCAATTACTTTTGTTTGATTAACATCATTCAGTAAAGCGTTGGTCAGTAGTTCTGGTGACAGTTGGTCCCGATTTTTAATCCACGGATGTGATAATATCGCACTAGCAGTACAACGTTTAGACGGTTCAGGATTCAACATTTTTGTCAATAAATCCTAAACAAACATATGAAAGGCATAAATGTAACCGAACGTTATAGAAAGCACAAAAGCTTAAAACATTAGGCATAGAGGAGTTAATAAAAATTACTATAATGGGTTCGGTAAGAGATCATGGATTCAGCGTCTCTAAGGAGTCACATATTAGGGCGAAACAGGTGTCCAATGCTGACTGGTTTATCAATGTTATCTTTTTGACTGCTTTCGAAAAAAAAGATTTGAAAATAAAATGAATATTTTACAGCCTAACAGAATTAAACATTTACACTGAGATAATAGTCAGAAGGAAGTAATGGAGAAAAATGATTCAACGGTATAATCTGGACAAGTTTGAAGATCAGTTAATTGATCGATTATACAAAAAAATAACTTTCATATTACTGAAATGTAAATATATGGAAGTAAGTTAACTAAAACAGTCTTTGATTTATAAACATATGCGTAATTATACTCGATGAGATAAACAATGGGTTCAATGTTCAAGCAATGACCAGAAAGAGGCTAAACTTTAGCCACAATTGAATATTGTGAATAAATTAATTAAAAGAATGCTTAATCTATGATACATTTCAATTGTATACTGGATTTTCAAAAAAACATATTCATCTTGCTGATATAATTAAATAATCACAATAATGCAATATTTGTCAATCACATAATCTTTGTATTTCACTATTTTATCTGTTAAACCATAGCTTATGATGTTCACCTTAATTTTACATCAATGAGATAGATGACTTCATTGTAAAATCATTCAATTTGTCTATGAATTAATAATTATACTATCCTATCCTTTCTTCTTTTTTATAGTGACATCAACCTAAATACATACACTGAAATAATAATCACTTTCAATTATTAAGTTCAGCATATTATATTATATTCTGTTCTTGTTTCTATTGTTTGATTTTTTTCTTTTCTGTATCTTATTTTAATTTCAACTTGATTGATTTAAGTGTATTTAAATTGTGTTTAGAACAATATTACTAAATGTGCCTTTTGTAAGCTGTTTACAAGTAATCAAAAGGCTTAAAAATAAAATTTATTCATTTTATTCTAAGAAATTTTATTATTTTAACTTTATTTCAATTTACCAATGAATCTGATTGACTAAAGAGACAAATAATTTAGTTGAATTCATTAATATACATCATCAAATGGTATTTGAAAGACATTCTTAAATAAATAAAAAAAGGATGAATACAAAAAGACAGGAAGTTGTATGATGTTAGGCAACTGGAAATGACAGATAGAATGAAGCCAAGCTAAATGTTACAAATATTTTTTTCCCAGTAGATTTGATATTCTTCTTACTTTTATGGTAAATTAGCCCCTCCCCCCCCGTCAAGCGAAAGGGTAATTATGATCTGAAAATGATCATTGAGTGCACTGGAGGCAGGTAAATGTTTGAAGTGTGTAAACGACACAATTAACGTACGCCTTACTCATTATATTCCTTAACAAGATTAATGTACATACAAATAAACTACTATATGACACAGGTAAGAAAAAAAAGATTCCCGTTGGCTAATGAAATAATATGTTATTATTGTTTAACAAAACTAAGGCGCCTGGAACGTGCATTAGAGGATCTTTTAGGTACTGTTTATGAAATAAATCAACGCTATAAAAGGATTTATGGAAATCGATAAGTTTCATCATTTACATCGCTAACTGGTCGTAATTATATTTCCTAGATAGTTATTTTGGTCTTATTCAATAGAGCAATATCACGGAGTGATTAAATTTCAACATGTAAACTATTAGATACTGAAACATTTGTCTAAGCTTTAGGTGCTTGTTACGACATTTGAGTAGACTAGTTTCAATTCTCGGTGGGTTTGTGGATTTAAATATTGGGACAAAACAGATGTCCAGTGTCTTATGATTTTTCATAGTTTTCAAACTAAGATAAATCCAAGTTGAATGGTTTATTGCTGACGATTTGCATAAACCCTAATGACAGTATTAATATATCTCATTTGAAAATTTCAAAGTGAACATTGATACTCTAATTATACAACTTGTACAAAAAAAACAGTCGATTATTTCTAGTAAAGATAAATATATTTTATTCATCAAATACGTATTGATAAAAATTATACTGAAATAGAATAAAATAAAGTAAAACGATTTGCATTATGCACTAAATTTAGCTTAACGATCAGTAGAAGCTAAAGAATATGAATCGTGCTTCGTTTTGGTGTAGGATGATTCAATAAACTTTGAAAAAAATTACAGACAAATATGGACCACCAAAACAACTAGTTTTATGTAATAAGATGTATGTTAGATAAACAATTAACTTTTGAAACGTATTCGCTGTAAAATAATTTAATTTAATCACCAACCAACATATTTTATAGTAAGGCTACGCATGCACGAAATCTGGATTTTAAAAAAAAAAATGCTTTTTTCACCATTAACATAGAGTTTTCCCACTAAAATTGGTGTATTTCTGTTGTTTTGTTTTTTTGTTTAACAATTTCACTTCATGAAATAATGCAAACCATTTCAATTTTGAGATTAGATAAAAAAAAGGATGATTATCCATTGGAAATAAGAATTGTTTAATTCAAAGTGTTATTTCTGTATAAAATATTAAAGTTGATTAAATTTTTCAATTATACAATTTAGAAAACAATTTGGTCTTAATCTACAATTAAAACAATACAAGTTTTTCACTTAATTTTTAGATATGTTGAGTTATCGTGTATGTTAGTTCAATGTGACCAGGTTTATGATGAGGTTGAGTATACACCGTAGACTAGTGAGACAGACTTGTGAATAAATTATCCCTCTTCTATTTAACATCAATGATTTAATAAAATTTAAAGATTTGATTAACTATAACAACCAACAACCAACATTATAGATTAATTTCACTATCGTACAATGATATGTGAAAACATTGTTTATATATATATATATATATATATATATATATATATATATATATAAATTGCAATAAACATACTCTAGCTGAATCTGATATTTTACTCCAATTATTATTGACTAAATCTAATCGGCCAGATTCTATACGTGATAAAACTATGTCAGATGATTCATTTGGTTGAATTGCAAATGGTGTTTGTCCAAATAACATTGTATACACTAATACACCTAAACTCCATACATCACATGCAGCATGATAACCTTGCATTTTCAACACCTTTAAACAAAAAAAGAATAAAGATGAATAAAGAGTCAATAACAACATCAACAACAAACAAACAAACGAAAGAAGAGTAAAGAAATACTAAAGACCGGTCAAGTAAACGTGTATAAGAGAGACAGGTGAGAAAATAATACAAAAGTTCATGTTCAAGTTGAAAATTTATTGTTATTATCATTTTTTTTTCACACTAATTTTAAATAGTAATGCTGAAAGACATTTGATAGAAAAGAAAAAAAGCAAACAAACAAACAAACAAACGAAAGAAAATGAATAAATATCATATTTTGCATTAATGATAGTTGGTTATTAAACAACATTAATGTATACTGGTTATTGATATGATTTCATCCGTTCATTCATTCATTCAATCAATAACATGACATGATAGTACAAATAAAAAATCTTGGCACTGAATATATAAATAAAATCAGTAAAGATTTATTCGTATAAATTGTAAATCATTTCTCATTTTGCATCAAAATACAATTTATAGGTTAAAAAACAAGTTGATATAGAGTGATGCGTCCCAATCAATTGATTGTTCCACAATGACCCTCAATCTTACAATTTAGTCAGTACGGGATCGATCCTCGAGGAATCCAGCTTGCCGATCTCGAAGTTGGGTGCCCATGGAATCCTTCATACTATTCGACAACACTCTATTGAAATCTTTTACTGGTATTGTGAGTAGAATGATTCTTTCATAGTTTTCACACCTGCTAAAATCTCCTTTTTTGGTATCGTGATGATGTGTCCTTCCTTTCAGTCTGTTGGTACTTGTTCTTGCCCAAAATTTTACTGAAAAAAGCGTGGATTATATTTGTTGTTATGTCTGATTCCTCTCCCCGAGCTAGTATGTTGTCTGTTACTGCAGTTTCAGCACTCTTGATCTGTGTGGTACCAATGCTGAACTCTTCAATTGTTAACGGGTCAAAATCAGTTGCAACGTCCGTGGGTGTTACTTTCATTTTGACTGGGGAGCCTAGAGCTCTTCTGAGGTTAACGCTGTTCCCAAGCCAGGGTAAAGGAGGATGGTTGGGAATGGGGTTAGCGACCCCATTCTCTAGAAAACTAATCTGCTAGAAACGCCGCCACTTTCCAATTAGATAGCGATCTATGTATATATGTGTACATAGAACTATTTTGAAAAAATTTAAGCAAGTCATCTTATCGTTCATTGGTACGTTGCACAAGCAATGTATCTCATGTGAATTATATTTCTGTAATGTATAAAATCATTCTACTTTCTTGATTATCACTTGATTATTTGAAAAGTGATCAACTCATTACAGTCAACTCATGTAGATTGTTTATTTAAGTTATCATCTCATTTGTTTTGAAAATTGACAGGAACTACACGAACTAAAGATCTTCATGTTTCACGATGAACACGAACGTTTAAAGCAATAGGTTGGTAGTTGACGATAGGGGCCAAAATTAATAGGCAGTATATCATTAAAGTATACTAATTCTTAGTAATATATTCATATCAAAGTAATACTAAAAAGGAAAATATCAAAACTATCATTCAATTTACTTCTGGTGCAACAAAATTCGCAGTATAACATGGTGTCATTAAAAGACCATTCTCAGCTCTTAATTGTTTTGCAAAACCAAAATCACATATTCTCAATGAAGATGCATTACCAGAATCATCTGCATATAATATATTGGATGGTTTAAGATCACGATGTACAACCTAGTAAAAACAGGAAATAGATACACATATTATTAATAGATTTATTCAATATTATAAGCTTAATACAATATGTGATTCTCAGTTCAACAAGTTTCTCCAATAAAAGCAAAAAATACTACCCATAATGGGATACAGGTATACATAAAATAATTAAATAAACTATCTAGAATTAAAGGACACTGGTTTTATGTTAAAATTTTCGATAGTACAAACTTTATAGGATTCCAACAGGGTGTTTAAGTAATGCTCATGTCTCAGACTAAAATTAACTGTTTAAAACTATTAACTGTAGACAATTAATTAATGAGCGACAAGAACTTATTAATTTCAAAGACATATGGAAAGGTATAATTCAACCTGCATAGATTGAAAGCATCCAACTGCTTAACAAAAATGTTTCTTGTAAAAAATGTCAGATAATGCAGAAAAGATCGGAAAAGGACAACTCTTCGTGACACATTTTCTTGGGTCAGCAAGGATGTTGCACAGTTTCCTACTAGCACACGGAAGATATTGTAATGGTTTCGGCAGGCAAAGGACGCACTACAGTAATTATGGGCAAAAAAGAATATATCAGGAAAGCCGAGAAATTATCTGAGAACAGAAGCTTATAAAAACCAGTCGACACAAACTCTATAAAAATGTTAGACAGCCAAATCCCAAAGACTCTGGGAAAGCTAGTCAAAGCAGAACAAAATCAAAACAAGATCATTGGCAAATGAAACCCAATGGACCAGTAATCTCAGGATTCTACGGTACGCCGAAACTACACAAACCCAACATTTCACTACGTCCAACTGTATCCTTCCCTAGAACCCCAACATACAACTTATCAAGAGAAATTTCAAGAAAATTGAAACATCTGGAAGATTCATTCAACTACTCCATTAAACCTCCCATACAATTCTTGGATAGACTCAAGGGGATTCAAATCGACAACGACGAGTGGATGAAATCCTTCGATGTAACAGCCTTATTCACCTCCATGGAGCCAAGCTTAGCTAAAGAAACTCTATCCATTCTCCTCACTAACGACACAAATCTCCAAAAATATATGAAACGTCAGAGTCAGTCTCCTAGAACTCATCAATTTATGCCTAACAATATGTTCCCAATTCAACATCAGAATCTACGAGCAAACAAAAGGAACACTAATATTAAGACAGAAGCTGTGGTGCAGAAACTAGAAGCGTCGGCTTTACTAGTGAACAAGCCAAAAATGTGGGCTCGCTATGTGGACGACACCTACAATCGGATAGACAACGTCTTTGATGACATAAAATCCACAACGAGACAACAAAAACATCCAGCTCAGGGAACGAAACTCCACCACAAGCATAGCATATTGGTTACCCCGATGTCGATGCTGATTCTGGCAAAGGTGTGAATTGGTAGTGGTCTTGGTACAGTTTCAAAGGTAGAACTATAGTCTAAAAATGTCCAAAAAATATTTCTTACTTCCATTTCCAATCTGAATACTATATTATGCTTCAGGACAACAGCAGCATCCAGGGTTTGTCTTGCATTTGGAAGCTAACTGATATGGGTCAATGTGCTGCTTCAAGGCAAGTTGAAGTTGGAATGGATCTGGTCACCCATATTCCTATTCTATCCATATTATGTTGATTTTTTTATCTCCTTTATCCAAAATTATCACCTTATGTTTATTTGAACGTTTATTTCACTGACCTGTTATTAATTTTCATACAAAATGTTTTTAACAAGTATATGTGGGACCAGATTGCTGGAAATGTATAGCGCAAATACATCACATTTTTCAGATCAATTACCTCTTCTCGTTGTTCTACTAAATACTTTATTTGATAATAAGACTATCTTTCCTCATGTTTTTGATATGAAATTAGTTGACAATGATTCGTTGAAGAAGTTCGTGATGCAGTGATATAGAACTTCAACGCATTTCTTGAAAAAGAGGAGCTCAGCGAAAATAGATAGCGTAAATGAAATTCAGTTCAGAATCCCATAAACTTCGGTAAAATAAACAAAATCGTACTTATTTAGGTGTTTTGGACATCATCCGAAGGTTAATCAGGGAATAAAATCATTCCCAAACTTAAACTATACTCAATTAGATGGACACTAGTTTATATTTTCAAATAAGTATACATATATGGAATAAAGATGAGTTATAAAATAATAATTATATGATCATAAACAAAATGTAATGTAGCATATCTGCCGTGACATATGAAGCTGATGCAACAATTGTATTGAGAAAAGTACTTCAACTGTTGTTATATTATAAATTCACTTATACTACTAGTTCAAAACTCATACATAAACCATACATGAAGGTATATCAATGAAATCTATTTTTCAAAAAGTAAACATGCAACTCATTCAATAGTGCATCGTAAAAAAACAATACCAGAAATGATTACAAATCAACATATTTCGATGTCATAATACTTTTGATTTTTATTTGTTAAATAAAATAAAGTTAAGTGCCTATACTTTATGAGACTGCAAACCGAACTAATTAAGACACCGATCGAAAACTGAGGAGCATTGAAAAGCTGTTTCGACCAATCCAAAACCATTCCTATCTATGATTCGGTAGGGAATCGAACCTAGAGGTTTCAGGTCTCCTTAAAGAGAGCTTAACCTTTAGGCCATTGAGCAATCTAGCATTTGTGAAACACCATTTTTAAGACATTAATTTACATAAACAATTATTTACAAATTGAGAATGTAAAAGTAAACATCCGCTTTGTAAATCCCTATTTAAACGCTCATATTTTATTCAAGTGATATTCTTAGTGAATTAGATTTATACATTCAAGTGTGATTATGATTTACATAATGCAATTGTTAGTTCCGATTCAAGAGAATATAACTTCAACAATTGTTAAAAAAATGTTTGTATTTATGTGTATACATTATCTGTGCAGTTATCAGATAAGATTATACAACACACAAACAAGATATAGAGTATTTACATAATTCTATTAAAAAGCAAACCATTTCACAATTGTGCACTCTTTTTTGTATCGAACTAGATAAGTTTATATTCATTTCTAACTGAACTGAACTGTTATTTCAACTCCGATAAAAAAAAATTATTTGCATTTTAATGGCTATAATTTATTAACCAGTGTATTATTAACACGTGCATTCATAGTGACCTTTGAAGATAAATGACTTGACTAGAACATCAACACAATGATAATTGTATTGATGTTACAATATACTTGAATAAATATGTCATGTTCACATGATCAGAGAAAAACTCATTTACGCTTGTTATAGAGAGAGAGAGAGAAAAAAAGATTAACGATTTTTATATATTTTGTTATAGAGATGTGTTGGAGATTAATTTTGTTAGGTAAATGTAAGGCTTTGAAACGATGTAAATTAAAAGATCATAAAGTGACTCTTTTATTTGGTATGTTTAACTAACTGAATGATCAAGAGATTAAGTTAACGGAGAAGACCACTAAGTATAAATATGTAAACACTTGTAACACAATAAATAAAAACAATAGGTGATCACAACCCATAACAACAAAAGAAGCTGCTAATTAAATTGTGGAGAAATTCTGAGCGCTCACATCAATTCACAGTATATATATATATATATATATAGAGAGAGAGAGAGAGAGATAGAGAGAGATTGATGATGTAGTCTAGAAAGATCATGACAGTTTCATGATTAAACCATTCAGTTTAGAGAGAGCGCAACACCTCCAAAATGCAATCTTCATTCATCGCATTTTTTTCAAAAGAGAAACTGAAATGATACACGCTAGACCAGAACTAAGTGATTTAAACAAAAGTGATAATAACAGGTGAATAGAATATACAATCACAATAGATTAACCGATGACAAATTACTAACTGAATATTTGTTACGTATTATTACATAAGTTAGAATATGGCTACTAATCTAAGTGAATTAACACTGCGTGCACTATGTCCATATGTTAGATGGTTGAAAGTAATAAGCAGAAAACCTTTAGACCATGGTCTGTTAGTTGACACTGGTCGACAATTGGTACCTTAATCTTTAGACACCAGATGTTTCAATTGGACCTTGAAATAGCGTATAGACGGAACAATTCTTAGAATCATATCCGAATTATTACAGTTTAAGGAAACTTTTATCTCTGTAAAAAGTCTCTGTATTTCATTCATTTAATATCAGACGGATCATAAAATCGCGAATGAAACCGACTGAATGTGTTGATTAATTTTTTACAAGGACAGACGTTTTCAAGTGGATACAATACTCTTTCACAACAACAGACGAGTAGAAATTTACACTATGAATTAGAATTTAGACAAAAGTATTTTTATATAATTGGTATTGGTTGTTTAACTCTTCCGATTGGTTTCTAGGACTGCGGACTAATCAATCTGTTTTAACATGTGTACGCTGTAAGAGCTGTACCGTTAATCCCTTTCAATCACAAGCATTTAAGCATAGACGGATGGTGGCTAACAGTGGAATCCAGGCATGTACAGATGATGAGTTCCAAATAGAACGAAATCAGCATCCCAGATTCCACTACTAGTTACTATCCATCTCATTCATATATATATATACGAAGAGAATAATTAAAAATATTACTTTCTGACACTCAGTCGGAGAATAATAAATAAATAAATTAAAGGCAAGTGACATTCAACAACATCTTTCTTTTTCATAATATTGATTATTCAACTATGAAATAGAAAGTTCGCTATCAATCATATATGAAAATGTGTTTTTTTCTATGATAAGCTAATTGTTTATGCACACTTGAAAACTAAATTGAAAGCTTAATTCTTCTTAACTGATAAAAAATCAACTTTTTGTTGTTGTTGTTGCTGATTTTTCCTAATAGTAGTTTATTTAATTCTGCCGGAACAAGAAGGCACCTAAAACTAGTATACGTTATACAAATAAAAGAGGGTTATCGTTGTGCAAACGTGAAAATAAAGGAGGATAGAACAAGTGAAATTCAAAAAAAAAAACAATAAAATAAATGGATAATTAGGCATCGTCGTCTGTATAATAAGCAGAAACATAATTTAGCTCTTTTAATAATTCAAATTTTCAGGTTAAATGAGGCGAAAAAAAGCGACAATAGATTCAGAGTATATATAATATTGTCTAAAATCTAGGCTAAATATTTCCTACTGTTTTAGTAGAAAAATGGCACTATAAAATGTAAATTACTATTTGAATAAAAACTTTTAAATACATGCAAATACAAAAATATTACTTTGTAGTGAATAATTATTTCAGATCAATCTTATCAATTAGAGAAGTTTTATTTAGATGGAAAGCGCTTGTATAAGTTATAGTCGATAACATCAAAGAACATACAATGTTCATGATAATTATGAAACATTACAGAGTTATGATGATAGAAATTACAATATCACATTCAAAGCAGAATTAGAAAATAATCCTGAAACAATAAAGTCATATTGCGTATTGAAAAGTCAATGGAAGTTATGCGTTAACTTAAGCAACTGTCATTCCGACTATTAATTTTGCATGACCTCAATACAATAAGATTATAAATAACGATAATTAAGAAAAAACTCTTTCACTAATACCGAATTTTACAATATTTATCCAAGTTACGACGCATGAAGTGATTTCTTAACGAGGATATATATGTATATACCTTCCTATAAATTTGATATTAAGTTTTGATCACTACGCATTCAACACATTTGAATAACATTGAATAAGTTAAATGGTTTTTTCTAGCTTATTTCACAAATGCAAGGATTATCTAATGAATGTTGTGTTTTTTTAATGGAACAATATTTCACTACACTTATCAGTTCTCTCGAGTATTTACTTCAGTGATGCTTATCATAAACCAATACAGTATGCACATAAATATTACTACACTGTTCAAAGTATTACACAACATATCAATATGCCCAAAAATCAATGATTCATAAAATGTAAACGTTATCTAGTTATAAATCATATAGCTGCCAACTTACCATATTCGTGTGTAAATAACTTAATGTATTTGCAATCACATAAGTCACATTACTGGCTTCACGTTCCGATAGTAATTTTTCACGAAATATCCTGTCTAATAATTCACCACCTTTTAAATATTCCATAACAAGATAAACTAGATGTTCATTTTCATAAACCTAAAGAAAAAAAAACAAAACAAGGCAAAACAGCGTAATAAAACAGAGTGTTTTCATATTTTTGAATGTTATCGATCCCTTTCGGTTAATCGATTTCAAAAATAAATATAAACTGAAATAGAGCATGACATTAAATGTTTGAAAATAATATACCTTCACCAATTTAACAGTACCGCCGTACAATGAATTAAAATTAGAAATATCGATTATAGCGTATATTCCAAGTAGTAGAGTTTTTTGTTCATACGCGAGAATTACTACTCTTCCTTGTTGATGTGAATATCTGCCGTTTACCAAGTACAGATTCGGCTTTGAGATACATTTTAAGCGTGAGAGCCATTGATACTATGAGTTTGTCCAAGTTTAAGTAAACGGAACAGAACGAGAACATGGGGCTCAATGGTTTGACGTAAATAGTTTGACCTGCGAAGCCACCATTTCAAATGATCCTTTATTTTTTTGATGTCAGGATACAATAGCACATTGTTAATTACCGTTTACAAGAAAACACATAATATGAGGTGAAAAAAAATTTTAGTACTTTACATTATAGAAAACTTTTGCGTTCAATTTAGAAATTTACAAGAAAAACTAATAACCATCAGGACAAATAGAACAACTATCTATCTGTGCATATGTAAACATCACGGGTATCTCAACTTTACTATCTATAATGAACAAATTTAAGAATATACTTCACATTTGTATTTAAACTTTTACAGGGATTTCATCTAGAGCATAATATACTAAAACTGAATAGTATTTCAATGGCTAATATTTTTAATTTTACTATGACGTAAGATAAAGACAACATCAAAGAAAATGTTTTTACTGGGAAATAATGAGAGTTAGTTAGTTGTTTTCTACAAATGTTTTTCATATGTACCTATTCAAAATAAGTGCGATTGGTTTTTGAGTGTGAATTAACAAATGCAAATTACTAACTAGTTATTTTTTAGAATTGTATTTTCTATTATTGACATCTATTCTAAACTTACTCAGTGTAAACTGTGTTGCAGTTGCGTTGAATAAAATTCTGTCTAATTTATGCTCTGATTCTTTATATTTGGATGTGAATTATTCACTCATCTTGGAAAAAAAATTGGCCCAAAACGTTGACCAAATTTTTCAATCAATCAAAAAAAATCATAGGCAAACATAGGATCAAGAAACAGATCAAAAGGTGGATGAAGTCAAAACAAAGGTGCAAACAGCGACAGTTGGTTTAAGGTCAACAACAACCAATCAAGATTGAGGTTAACACAGAACAAGCTACGGGTCAAACGTGGAGAAATTCGAATATTTCAATTCTATCTGAAGTTTGTGCTGATGATGTTGTTCAGCAGGAGAACAATGAAAGCTCCACAACCAAAACATCCAGCTCAGAGGTACGGAACACCACCACAAAATTATGAACTATGTGCATAGTGTATCAATCAACTATCCAATCTATTGTTAGCATAATATTGATCACCTTTCATATTATATTCTGTATAACATGCAGAAACAGAAAACATGCCTAATTCTGCCATTATATGAGTTTTGTTTTACTAGAGGAAAATACAAAACATTTTATAAACAATTGTGATTCACGAAATATAGACATTTTCGAGAAGAATTTGTTTATATACATTTAGAAAGTGTAAAAGACGTAAACAAGGTTCATCTAACTAAGTAGAAACTTAAAAAGTTAGGAATGGAAGATAGACGGAAATGGCATTAAGAAAAATATCACCTTGGAAATTGCGAAAATGGACCATGAATTAGTAGACCAGTAAAAAATTCCTAGCAAATTGTTTATGTGTATACATGTGAAACGAGAATAATAGAAAATAGGAATACTAGAAACTTTGAAATTATGAAAAAGTGAGATAATGAGAATGATTTAGTTCTCATGAGAAAAAGCTTAAGAGTATCCTTTTCTTTCAGCTGTATAGCTCAACTGTGAAGATTTTCTTCTGTCTAGAGCTTATTTTAAAAAATGTTGTTATGATTCAAAAAAAAAATTTCATGGTTAAACCAACTCACAGAGTACAACACACAAATAGGGAGTAGATAAAACTAATTTCAAATAAAAATGTGGCAGCAAAGATTTTATCTCAAATAAGGATCAAAAAGTTCCTTATCTGTAACTGGAACAAAAGTAACAGTTGTTTTTCTAAACCATTTGTAAATCATAGTCAACTGGTTTTTCATCATCTCCAGCAGTTAAGTAATGATAAATGAAGATAAAAATGATCGAATTTAAATTCTTTAAAAAGCGTATTAACTTAAGTTGTTTGCATATTTCAGGCTATTGGAATTATGTAGAAAGTTAGGACACACTTTATTTGCATAAAAAAAATTGTATTTGTATATTGATCTTGCTTTGTATCATATTGAATTCATTAATAAGATGTACTTGCCTCTTAGCTAAACTCAATAGTTATTAACATATCATTCATAAGAGTGTACGTGTTCTGTCGTCGATATCCAAGACTGAATTTCAAAGTATTATCTACCAGAATTCAGTTTCCGTAAGTATAGTCAAATTTACAGTCGGACAAAGACAGCTAACAAGTTTTAAACAAAGTGAGAAATTAGACCCTATTTATCACTCACAGCCACTATAAAATAGTATCACTAAAAAACATACTTAGAAATTCTAGCGATAGAAAAGGTTTTACTCAAAGAGTACATTTGTCAACAGAATTAATACATCAATCTAGAATATTATCAATAATCAAATGTAAACACTTTTGAACAATAAATTATTGCTTTTATTTAAAATATTACCATTATTCATATTTAACACATTTGCATATCATAACAGTGAAAGACAACTGTGAAATGTTCAACGATAGCTTTGGGATAAAAAGGTTTCTGATATATATATATATATATATATATATATATATATATATATATATATATTCTTATCATAAACAAGTTTTCAGTGAGTATCGGTTCCTGACTATTCATCTCTATTTTTTTTCATTTACACTTCAGTAAACAATCATACAGCAATAATTATTCTTGAAAAAATCTTATCTATCATCATATATTATTATGACTCGATAGTATATATTTATTACCATCTTTCTTGTAGACAATATTACCGTTATTGCAATTTTGTAATTAGTATAATTGAATTTATACTAGTTAATTCTGTTCACGCATGATGATTTAGAAAAAAATAGAAGTATTTCAGTATGTAAACAACATTGTGGATTGCAATGAGCTAACAGAAGAGATAAAAATCAATTAACCATGAGCTAGCATTTCTCGAGTGTTACGACGAAAGAGGAAATAATAATAATAATAATATTAGTAGGCTTTTTAGCAGTAATCAACACATTCTGAGAAATATTTAGACGAAAGACTGACAAATGCTTGTTCTACAAAAATCATTAATGTGAATAGTTTGATTAACAGAATTTGTAATGTTACTACACAAAAAGAAGACCGACAGTTTGGAGTGGATATTTTTGTCTACAACTACCAAAGTTTTTGGAGATTAAAAAAAATAATGAAAACTTAAATCAGAATGTACGCTGAAAGAATTGTAGAACAGAGTTGTCATTTTATACCGAACAGAAACATGAAAGGGAATAACCAGGATTCTGAATTAACTTGTTTATAAGAGTTTGTTTTAAAAGCCAACAATATGATGAGATAGGCTTTAGTTAAAGTTAAGGATAGGTTACCATATACCGAACAAGAGGATGTGGTCCATAAGGTCCAATATCATGAATGCAATGCAGCATACGTAGAAGAAGCTAAATGTGAAGTTACAAAACAAACAATATTTGGAATATGTTCTTCAATCTTCGACTAACTTCAAGAAGTTGTATTACATTCGTTAGAAACAAAATAAAATATCGCCTCCAAATGGACCAGGACACTTCAGGAACGATTCAATGCTTACAAAGGAAAATAATTAACAATAGGAGCGTTGTATGTATGTACTAATCAGAACAGACCGAACACAGAAGATGAGATACAACTAGCCCCATCCCTTGGCAGCTAGCTGATTCGCTAGTAATTTGAACGTTATCTAAGCAATTATGCTCTATTTACAATTTTTATTTTAAGTTAACTTTTCTTGTAGACCATTATTTTTTCAAAGAATTAAATCAATTATCTAAGTAGAACAATCATACAATGAAGTGTGCTTTTGGCGTCTGTTTTGTTTTTTTCGGTTTGGATGTTGTTACACTTAAATTTAATAAATGTATCCTTTGAAATAGTGAAATAGACTTTATTACAATGTCTATAAAAAATTATTTATTACTAACATGGTAATAAAGTGTTTTTTTTATGAGGATTCAAAAAATTTGTATTCAGTAGACCATCTAAAAATGAACTAACATTGTTGATTAGCTAAGCATATCAGACTATGGAAACCAATCGCAATGTGAACATTCCACCGTATGTATTTATTAATTTATTATTTATTGAATTAGGTTGAAAAAATTATTTAGTTTCATTGTAAAGGGAATAGGTTTTTTGAAAATTATGTAGAAGAAAAGGGTTTGTACGTTAAAAAAGTACTTTGCGGTTTTCTGTATTATGTAATACATTTGTTTGTTAGTACCATCACAACTCTTATTAAAGGGTTTTATGAAGAGAGGTAAAATACTTAAATCCACTGCAGCACAAGTGAGGCGTGGTAGAATGCCTCTACGATAGGCCAGAAAAATATGAAATACATATACAATTGAAGAAGATACCAAATTATTGACTGAAACATTGATTTCAAACAGTTATTCACCAAAGTTCATCAATAGGTGTAGAAATCATTTAAGGCAAAAGCCTGTCTTTATCATCTTGAGGTGAATCAAACGGTTTAATCTTAATACTAAGACTATATGCAGCCCTAGAGAAAACATACTATGCTGCTAAACTGATCAATATTGAAAGGACTAATGACCATGATTCCATGTAGTCCCATGCCATCACATCTCATTGCATTTATCAACTCAAATGTTTGTGTGAGTAACCAGACATTGCAATCAAGGGTTATGAAACATATACCGAAACTGCTTTAAAATCAATGAACGCCAGATGACCCGATGAATGTGGAAAATAGATAGTATAGATAGATAGATAGTATAACTGAAACGGAGCATAAGATTGACATCAAGACAGCCTTTAAAATATTGCATAGAAAAGTTTAAGGAAACCTTGGATATTCTTAAATTAAAACCCTCCTTATGTGTACAGAAACAGCTTGTTATAACCTTGAATTTACCTTGGTAATCTTTGAACCGTAATGTGACGATTTCCTATTCATTTAATAATATGTTCATTTTCTCTCCCATTTATTTACAAGCTTGCAACGGCAGCTGAACTAGTGATAGGGAGTGAAGCAGTTGAGCGTGTTAACTACTCTTATTATCTGGGGAGTCTCATCGGTGCTGATGGCCTAGTGACTGAAAAAATCTCAGCACGGATACAGAAGGCTCAACTGGTTTTAGCCAACGTGCGTTACTTGTGACGTAGGCAATATACTAGTGTGCTGAACAAAGAACGAGTTTACTGTGCAGTAGTTCGCTCCGTTATACTTTATGGCTGAGACACATGACCAGTAAAAGTTAGAATATTCGTAGGTTACTAGTATTCGATACTCGTGGTCCCCGAACCATTGCTCATATATCCTGGGACATTCGAGTAAGCGATACTGTTTCTGCGAAAAGAATACCAGGTGAGGATGGCAGATCAAGAAGTGAATCCCCATCAGTAGAGGTGGTTGGGAAATGTCTTACGTGTGCCCAACCACAGACTGCTTCGGCGAGCGATGATGCCTGGTTTAAGGATAGACTGCAAGAAAGTTAGAGGCGGCCAAACCAAAACATGGCACAAGTTCATGACTTTACTGACAAGTTGACTGAACCATGTTGGTAGGTGTAGACTACCTGGTAACGGTCCGCGAGATGATAGTAATCGATGGCTTAAGACCCTGAATGACATGACTCATTATTGTTTGCGATGACACAGGTGCATCCTCTGTTTGTGTTTCCGCAAATTCTAATCTAAAATCCTCATGACCTTCATCTTTCTCGTCTCAAATCTATTTCACTGGATTATACTTCTTGAATAATATCGTCGGACCCTAATCTCTCCGACTACTGCTCGTACTTCCACTACCTCTACCACTATGTGATTTGAATTGACAGTTGCATCTGTGTGCTATGTGATATTGCAACTTGAACTGATGTAAGTACGTACGAAGTTCTACGTTTTACTGAATTAATTTTCTATTAATTTGGATATAAAATGCCTTGACAAGTATGTGCGACCAGATTGTTCAAAATCATAAGGTAATTATGTCAGATTTTTCAGATCAACTATGTCTTCTCATTGTTACATCAAAATCCAATCGTTTTTAATGAAGATATGTGTATGATTATCAACAACGAAGCACTGGAAAGCTATTTCACAAAAGTCTGGAATTCCTCAACAATAAAAAAACCATGACTTACACAGGAAGCGAACAAAGATATATCAAGTTCGGTAGTGAGCATTAAATCATAAAGTTGTCATTAAATAGTTTGCATTTTTAACTCTATTGATTTAATAATACAAACAGAAAAGTTTTTAGTTTTATTGGACTGAAACAAGATGATGGTTTACTATGATAAATTTTACATTTAACAGAATTCATATTTTTATGATTGGTGATCATGGTTTATAACATATTTTTGAAATTATGATTTAAACTAACTAGACAGTCTATTTGTCAGTAACAGACACAAATTGTAAATTATTTTATAAGATGCAGAATTCGAATACTTTCATTTGGCTAAAAAAAGCCACTCTATTCAAAAACATGTTTTTGTTTTTATTTTGATTTCAAATTAATAACAAGACATTTTACTAGTGGATAGAATTCAAGTTTATTTATTTAATCCAGCGATCAAAAATGAAACTAGATAGGTTTGGAATTATCAGTGACACTATAAACTATTTACACTGCTTTAATTTCTTAAATCCTACATAGTGAACCAGAAATATAGCATAATTACAATCGAAGGGACAAGTAAGTACGTGATAATCAAGAATAATTATCATTTGATTTGATCAATATAACTGGGCAGTTGCAGTCATGAATATCAGTGAAAAGATTCAAACAACCGATACAAATGAACTGAATATCATACCACTGCACCAACCAGCAGCTATATGGATTTCTTAGCTAGGCGAATAACGGGACGACGCTTGAATGAAATGGTGTTGGGTTCCAGTGCTGGAAAAGAACATCAACTCTGGGGTATAGGTACAGTCAGTTGGTCAGTCCTAAACACAATAACATGCGAGTCCTAGATTCTACTGATTGCCACAATCTATTTCTGTTTTTATTGCTTATGATTTAATGATAATATCAACGCGATCCCTACAAGATATTTATAATATCAAAAGTGACTCATCAGTTGCAATCTTCAACATCACGGGCAAGAGCCGAACAACCAATTTGAAAATAATCAAGTGAGGCACTAACTAATTACAAACATAAGAGTGAGACTTAATTACAACTTAAAAATTTTATGTTGTTTATCAAGAAAATAAAAAAAGTAAAAACTATGCAAACTTGAATCGCTAAATTTTTTTAGTAAATCATTGTGCAACTTGTCTTACATAAAACATTCACATCGTTGTTTAATTTCAACTTTGACACGAAACAATTAAAATTATTTCACTTTTTTCTTATCATATGAGTAAATATGAAAATTGCACTTAATTCTTTACTTGAAATGAATATATCTAATTAAATATGAAATGTTATGATATTTTCTGAAGAATTTTTTAAAAATAAACATTCGTGATAGATTTGTTTACCATGCAATCTGGTCCTTAATAGAACTTTGCCTAAAGAGAACTTAACATGAAATAAAAATACAGAAATAGTGCCATCAGCAAGTACAATGAAACATGATATTTCAAGGAACTGAGATATATAGACATAGTGTGTTTATCATTTACTGACAACTAAATAGTTATAAATGGTAAGTTTGTATAGTCCAAAGTTCAAATCTCATGTTATCCAATGTATTTTGATGTGACTACTAGTTGACAGTTTATGATAGTTGAAGATGAATGTATTATTTTTGATGTAAGTTGGTTGGAGGTGATTGACATAAAGCGCTGAACTTTGGTTTTGTTGACACCAGTCGGGATAGAGTATCTTAACTCTCGAAAGGAACACTAATTCGTCATCACACTAGAGTTCACGTCATCTAGTGTCATTAGGCAATTAGAATTGTATTGAACAAGTATTTAACTGTTATATTGGATGACTCAGATTCTACTTCCTTGATGAAATTCAGTTTCCTTAAGAGTCCAGATACGTCATGCTGACAAGTGTCAGCGAGTATAAAACGACGGTTCGTTGCTCCAAGTTAACTGTCTCTTCAGATCATATTGAATAAGTATTCCATACAGAAAATAAAATGTGATTTAGAGCATATCAGATTTTAGACAATCCGAGTAAGAGTATGCTTGGAATGAATCATGTGATAATAGCTAGTTATGAAACGCATTGACGTATATTAAATTATCAGTTAAATCACTTAGTACTTCAAATATCATGAAAAATACTGAACTAATAGGGTTAACTTACATCTGCGACAGAAACAATATTTGGATGATTATGGTGTCTAAGCAATATTTCAACTTCTTCTCGAGCGTCCCGTTTTGATTTGTCAATGATCTGAATGTGTAAACAAAGTAACAAAGCATAAATTATTAAAAAGGAAATGAACATCTATGAAAATATGAAATATATATATATATATTAGTTGAAATGATTTGTGGAGAATGTAGAATTTTCCGAATCGAAATCACGAATTGATCTTAGCTATACCAATTTTTACCACCTGTAAACACTGCATGGCCGTTTTGTCATACTATGTCGCTCTTCAGTGGGCTAAATTGTTTAGAGCTTAAGCATTTGTGTACGAGACTAAAGGCTTTGGATTTAGTTACCGCCTCTAGGATTATGCATATGTATAAACTTGATGAAAAGCAAACGATAGCTAAACCATCAGCCCATCAAATCAATGATAATTTTGACAGAGATCTGGTTAGTAATGGTTGGCATATGTGTATCCATGAGGACTGTCTCGTTTTGCCACTGTACCATGGATTGTGGATAGTAGTGAAACCTAGGACATGCGTCTCGTCCTATTTATAACTCGTTGGTTGAATGTATATGCACATGAGATTCGATGTTCACACACGAGTGTTTGTTTCAGTTCAGTAGCTGAGTAGATAACACGACAGAGATTGAAGTGAACGGTACAAGGTTCAAGTTTCAGAGTAAACATCAGCTATGGGATTCATTTATATCTAGCTGAAAAGTCCTAAGTAAGTTGTAACGAGTATCCCGGATCCCATAGCTAGCCATACACCAACTATATTCTATGTGCTAAAGTTTCCTTAAATGACTATATACTACTATATACCCTAGTCTTTATTTATCATGCACATCTTTTCTAAGCAGAAATTGACAAAATCACTACAAATATAGTGGTAACAATTGTAACTTTTCTTATTTACATAATCACTTCCTTTTAATTTAATTCCTTATACATATGTACATAACGTGGATATAAGTACAAAACAGCATGATAGCTTATTTTGCACACAAATATTTGCTTAAACAATAGTACATTTATAAAGTATAAACTTCCAGGTTACTAATTTACAAAAAATATACTGCATGATATTCCTTCTCTTTCTCTCTCTCTCTCGATATATGTATATATATTTCATAAAATGACACCTTAAAATGACCAAGGAACACAATTTTTAAAAAGAATGTCATTTACAGTGTAAGAATGTTGAATTCAACCATTAAAATAAATTAATGTGTAAAAATTCTTAATTAATAATTTAACGTTAAACTAAGGTATATTTATAATTAAACCTGCAAACTAAATATCATGTATTATTTAAGTATATGTTAACAGTTTTTGTTTTTGTAATGGAGTTTCATTCTCTGAGCTGGGTGTTTTGTTTGTGGAGCTTTCATTGTTCTTCTGAACAACAACTTCATCAGCACAAACTTCAGAATGAGCTTTATGTTTACAAAATTTGGATAAACAATGCTAACATAAGTAAAATTATTGAGATTTAAAATAATGAAATATTTTCATAATTAAGTATAGAATAATAAAAGGCATAAATTTAATATTTCTGAAAGCATATATATATATATATATATATATATATATATATATATATAATAAGCTTGAGTTTTATGGAAATAGGGAAATTAAACATAAGGCAACCCCTCATGAGTAAACTAGTCAATGCAAAAAAAACCAACAGAAAAAATCTTACATTTACCGAATAAACAATTGATAAACTGAAATTAAAGATGTAAGTCATTAATACACACAATTCAAGAAAAGAAAACTAATCTTTGACGAATAAATATTCAAATGATTATTATGTTTGATGAGCATCATTCTGGTATATGATAAGATATAAACTGTATCAAAAATAGCAATTGATAAACTTTAATTCTATCGCTTTTTATTTCAAATTACTAGAATAGTGAAACTTTGAAATACTGATATAAACATTCACTAATTGTTACACGTGTTGTGTGTAATTTCAGCATTTTTTATTGATCAATTAGAGCTACGGACCTTTGGTCTTGCACGCGAACGCCTAACCACTGGTCCATCGGGCCGGCATCCAACGGTGTTAATGTCTAACTCTGATTGATCTAGGGATTTTGCGCGACCTCACCCATTTGTCTTTGGTAGTTACTGCCTACACCCGACAGGGTTGAACTCCACTGGTCACGTCTTCTCAACTAGAACTCCGAGAATTTCCTCACGAAGCTAGTCACTAGTAAACACATCTTAAAATTTTCCAATTAGAGTTATGGAGATTATTGTTAAGATGCTTTAGTGCTTGAATTAGTTAAAAGCTTTAAAAAATTGTATGAAGCTGTGCCTAAATACTTTGGTGAACATTTACCGAGTTCCCAACACAGAAAATCATGGTATCAATAAGAAGAATCATAGTAAAACGATTGTCTACTTCAATAAAATAGAAAGTTAAGAGATAATATTATTTATTCACTGTTTAATTTGTTTAACATTTTTTCGCCACTACCAAATAATAGTAATAAACAAAAGTAAATTTATATACAAATTCTAATTAGTTTACTATCAGTTTTATTGATAAATTCTACATGAAATACAATAGCTAATTGTTGTAATTAGGTCAGTTTCAACCAACTGATCATAAAGATTTATTTTGTATTTTTTCTCATGTGTGTTTTAGAAATTATTTACATCCTAGGTATCTTCTCTATGTTGTGCATTTACAGTATGATAACCTAATAAATATTAGAAAATTTAAAAACACGATGAGAAAATAACAAAAAATATAAGAAAATAATAATGAGACTTTCTTTTGTACCAGTTTAGTTGTGGACTGATATTTACTTAAGATGACCGATTGATAAGAAAAAAATGTACCAGAAATAAAGTACAACTTTGTTATAGGCTGTTTAGTTAGTTGCATATAGTCATAAAGTATGCTTTACAGGTTTCACAACGATCAGTGATTCATATTAAACTCTAGTGAATGATAATCACAGAGTAATTACATAAAATTAATTTTTTTTTTTAAATGCAGCCCATTTGACTTTCAACCGGTTTTTTTGGATATATTATCGTACTGGTTATGAATCGTGAATCGATGTGGCTAAAAAAATTATGTTTAAACTATTGCTTCTCTGACAATAATTACCACTAATGTGCATTTTTTCATTGAAAGAAAAGACGTAACACTAACACAGATTGAAAGTCCGAACAATGTAAAATGAATTAAAAACTAACTTTGGAGATGGTGTATGTAGCTCATGATTAGCAGTTGAGTTATCTAAACTGCATGATTCACAATTAAGCCATCCAGTTTACAAAATACAATACCTCCAAGCTGATTACAACTCATTATTAATGATTCCAAAACATATTGAAATATTACTCTTGAGAAATAAGTCCATTATTATTTTCTCTACTTATCATATTCTATCAATTCTTGACACATAGATTTACTTCTCAGGAAGGCATTATATGTATATTACTTGATCGAAATGCACATTCATGCATAAATGAAATACGTTTTGTATTCATACACAATATTAGATATAAATTAGCTATGTATGAATTGATTTTTAACCTCAACCATGTTATATACTTATGCGGTCAATCAATGCATATTTTTTATTTTTTCAAAAACGATTATCACTACATCTATGGTCTAGAAATGCTCACTGTTATCATAATTACTGTAAAAACAGGGACTGTACACACCCAGCTTACTATTTTTCAAACAATCAATCAATCAATAAAGATTGAATTAGTATGAAATTAGAAAAGTGTTTTAACATGAACTAAGAAAGTATTGATCATCTATCTTCACAAATCAATAAAATAGTTCAGTGAACATTGGGTCATTCAGCAGAATAAATTGTAAGTTAATAAATTCCGCGAAAAAAAAATGGGTGCCTACTACAATTATAAAGAGGTTTGCTTTCTGCTTACATCATTCACTCATTTGAAAGTTATCAGCTTAACAAATATATACTTTTTATCATAGAATTGGTAATCAAATAATCTCTAAACAAATTATAAAATGAGTCTCACAGGCCAAAAACAAATAAAAAAAATTCATTATCTCTATTGTTTTATCGTGTCAAATTGTGTAATAAATATAATCATACTTAATATACTAACAATAAATTTAAAGATATGATACTTTTGAAAAAGCCATTGACAAAAATTCAGGTAAAAAATTGACAAAATCAAATTTTCGGAAGATTATAATGATTAAAACAAGTCTGAATTAGACCATGGTTATATTGTTTTTACTAGCATATTTTAAATACTTGTATGAGACTGATTTCTTTGCTATTCAAAAAACATTTATTAATGCATTCTTATTTTCAAAGTATTCAAGGTGAAAACTTATCTTAGTTAAAACACCACTGAAAACATAAAAGTTATTGAGAGGCTATTTCGTCGTGACGAAGAACTTCTCATCACTTCCGAAACCTAGAATCGAATCCATGAACTCCGTGGCGATGAGCAAACGCCGAAGCTCTGAACCACAGAGACAGCATCCAATAGAGTTAATAATTGTTGGATATGCCTGTCTTTCTCTGTATATATATATTTAAAATACTAGGAGTAGTCAGTCATTCCAGCTATAAATGCATAACTGATGTATCACATCGGATAAAATATTCAACTCGGCTTATATAAATCTTGTTAGTTATATATATAATATTATAAATTTAAAATAATGAACCTAGTTGCAAACTTTAAATGCGGATTGTTTTACACAAAATAAAGAAATAGTTCGTCACTTATGTGCAACATAAATCACCTTAATGAAGTCCAACTTATCGATACAAAAACGATAGATACAACCACTTTGGATATAATTCCAAGTCGAAATTTATCAATCCAAGTTATCAAACCTATATGTGATATTCTCATTATTAGTTATTGTTGCTGATATTAATAGTGTTGCTATTATTATCATCACAATAACCAAAGTGTAATTCTATTTTGATGACAAATGTTTTAGAAATGATTTGAATCTATCGATCAATGTAATAAGCCATACAATTTTTCTTAGTTCTTATTCTGTGACCTATTTAACTTTGGAAAAGTCACAATT